GTCGATTTTCGGCTGCGGCAGCAACGAACCGTTCAACATCACGCGCCGTTCGTTGGCCGGTGTTGAAACCACCCTCAGAAATCTGTCCATCGTCGCCTGCGTACTGCTAAGGGTGCCTGAGGCGATTCAAGCGTTGCACTCATTGAACGCCCTTGAGTTGCAACATAACAAAATCTCAGCGATCACGCGCAAAGACCTCGAAACGGTCGCAAAAACACTACGCCATTTGGATATTTCCGAAAACGTGCTGACCACCATTGAAAATGGCACCCTGGACATGATGCCGGGTCTTGAAACGTTGATACTCAGTAATAATCACCTCAACGATTCGGTAGTTGTCCACCTGAAAGAACTGCAGCAGTTGAGACGACTGAACCTGGCAGGGAATAGAATCAGCCTCGCGGACGGCGAGGGCATCTTCAGCTCCCTGGATCGCCTAGAGGTACTCGACCTGTCGAAAAACAAAATCGGGAACATCAGTCGAACAATGTTCGCACCATTGCCTTCGCTTTCCTTTCTGGACCTTAACCTGAACATGATCGAAGACATCGACGACGGCTCGTTTGCCGGCATGCCGAACATCACCAAGCTCAAAATAGAAGGAACATATCTTGACAACCTTCGACCAAATATGTTCGTGAACCTGTCGAATCTAGAATACTTACAACTAGGTTGGAACGAACTGAAAACGATCCCGGAAGGTGCTTTCACTCATACACCGAATCTTAAGGTGCTTTCGTTGAACAGTAATGGTCTGCTGCAAACATTAGACCCGTCAGCACTGAAAAACTTGAAACAACTGGAAATTCTGAATTTGTCGTACACGTCGGTGGTGACCATCGAACCGTTGCTATTCAATGGTACTAAGCTGAAGGTGCTTGATTTGAGCAGCGGCGAACTAGAAAGGCTGCCGGCAGATGCCTTCGACTTCACACCGGACCTAGAAACGCTGTTCGTGAACAACACGAAGCTGATTTCACTGCCGGACACCATTTTCGATCGGCTAAAACGGCTACAGGAAATCAACCTATCTTACAACCAGTGGCTGTGCGACACGACGCTCGGCTGGCTTTCTTCATGGCTGCGGAACAGTGCGGCAATCGTGCAGAATCGGAATTACGTCAGCTGCGAATGGCCAATTCGGCTCCGAGGCATAAGCGTCGCATCACTGAACGATTCAGAGTTTGTTGACTATGAATACGATGATAATGGGGGGCAGCAGCAGAACGAAACGCTCACTAGCGAAACCGCCGTAGCCTTACCGGAAGCTGCAGGTCACGCAGATTCAGATGGCGGAGGCCACAAACCATGCAACATTGGAGGCCATGTCCATGCAAACGATCAGAGCGTTGAGATGGGGACGATCATCACAATCGTGGTGGTGATTCTGGTCGTTTCCATACTGGTCGTATTGACGGTCATCGTGCTTGTGATGAAGAGACGGCGCAGACAGAAAGAACGTGACACCAACGCACCCAACAGCCACTTGCCAAACAGGTAACAATCGTTAAGTACCTTACGAGAAGGAATGTACCACAGAGTGGATCTGTT